TCCGGAGCAGTTGCGCCTCGAATATAACCTATCACGTTTCGAATTGTTCTGCAAATTTATATCACAATTCCGCAGTCTGAAAAAATTATTTGGATATTTTTGGCTTTGCTTTCAGCTCACTGCAGGAAAACTAATCCCGGTTGATGTTAAATTTCATGCTAGTTTGTGCCTGCAGCAGTCTTTGAAAAGTTTTATCGGTAATCTAAGGGTCGGTAGAAGTAAAATTGTCATTTAGACGTAAGAAAGCGCCTTAAATTTTTTTTTTTTTTCAAAATACAGCGAAGAAGAAGGGTTTCCGGATGTAGAATAACTTGAAAGCAATGTTTAATGAGCGCATGAAAATTTCATCTCTAAATTCAGCTTCTGAGAATTCCATAGTTCACGGTTTTTTAACCAAATACCTGTTGACCAGCACTGAATGAACAGTAATTCTGATTTTGTGGTTTTGCTTCAAATCCGGCCCAAGATGATATCTGAGATCAAGTCCTCCTTGCCAATCATATGGTGCCAAGGCACCTCGCATATGAGAAAGCACTTCATAGGCATCTTTGTAGCTCAGTGGCAACACCGGAATGGTTGGTAAAATTCCTTGAGCCTTGGCCTGAAACATAAAACTTTAACGAGACTGGTTTTAAAAGTGCCAAAATCACAAACAGAACATTCCAATCAAAAGAGATTTTAAATTTGCTTTTTGTCACCTTTGATATTTTTTAGCTTTCAGACCCCAAAACTCATTGAATATTTAGTAACCATTCGATATCTAAAAGCTAACTGCAGACTGGAAGCATTGTACAACTTTGGGATTTAACCTAGAACTTCTGGGTAGTTGAATTTCGATTTAGTGTAATTTCGTTGTATATTTTAATATCGTCTTCAAAAGACGAACAATAAACCTCAGCAATGGTCCTTGAGCGATACAAATTCTTTTTTGAGGGTTGAAGAGGTGAGAGTGGGTCGCCATCTCCATGCATTATGCTGCCACGTTGAACTCCTTCGTTTGGCATCCATTCCGTGTTAGGATAAGTGCGGTCTGAATAAGATATTTTTATGAGTGCCGATAAAAAATCTAACTTAATGAATCCAAAAGGCTCGGAAAAAAGAGCAAGCAGGCTGCATTTGGCACTTTTTGATTTAAAAAATTTCCCTTTTGATTTTCTTTTTATTTTCTAACTTTCTCCTGTTCACATAGTCCTCATATGATCCCCGCTACTCGGTATGTTTAATAAACACCAAATAAATCAATGTTGTTTCGAATACTCGCTATCTTAAATTTTCAGTTCGGCTTTGGCACTGTTTAGAAGTTATCACGGATATAGTAAAACATCAGTGAAAATAT